AACACCAATATATAGATACCACTTGTGACCTTTTGTCCCAGTTAAAAGCAGCTGTGTCACCCTGGCAACTGCCTTCTCTTTAGTTAGCTGTGTTTTCTTCACAGTCATCAAACATCTCTTTCATCCTTGTCAATAGAATATTTGCTTATTACAGCATTGAGAATGGTCCCTAGGGCCTCAGTGAATACAAGGCAAGCCCTCTACCAATGAGCCGCACCCTCATCCAGCTAGAATGGTTTTCTAGGAAAGCAGAGTTGTTCTTTTCATTTTGTTTTGTTTTCTCCCTTTACCCTCCTCTTATCCCCTGTGGCCATGGGCACACCCTCCTGTATCCCTGGCATCTAGGATTGGGAATGGCAACTAAGGGACATTCAGAAAATAGTCCTTGTAATAAGAAATGAGTAAGTCTTACTTGAGAAAATGATTAGGTAAACTACAGTTGCCTACAGCTAATTCTTTTTTTTCTTTCTCCAACTCTTTTCTTTTCCCTCTCTCCTCTTTCCCTTTTCTCTTTTTAATACTTTATCAAAGTAAATATTGTATACAACATATTACACACATTTAAGTTGTAGACTTGCATGACGTCATGGAAGATACTTGTGAAAATTCCCCATTATGAAGAGAATACCCTCCTAATGTTGTTCTAGGCCTTCCTCATTTCCTGTCCCTGTGCAAAGATCAGTTAAGTCACTAGGAAATCATGTGCTGTGTCTTCATTTAAATCCAGGCTTATTTTACTTGACATAATGATTCGAGATTTATCAGTTGGTTATATTGGTTGTTGATGGTTTGGTTCTTTAACTGATAAGTTATATTCCAGTGTGTGTGTATGTTTCTTTATTCATCTGCCAATGATCATTTGTTTTATTTCACCTTTTGGCTTTTACAAATAAAGATGCTATGAAAAATAATGTAGAAATCTCTCTAGGTACAAAAGCTTCTGTTTCTCTTCAGTAAAAATGACAAAGGCATGATGAAATTCTTAAGAAATAAACACTTTTCCAAAGTGGTTCTACCACTTTTCTGTTCCTGTCAGGAGTGCATGGATAATTTCAGTTGTTCTAAATGTTACTAATCAGAAGGCATTTTTATTTCCACCATTCTAATAGGTGTTGGGTAGCTATCTTAGTGGTTTTAACTTGCAATTCCCTAACAGCTAATATACTAAGCACCCTATTTTGTATGTCTATTTGTCTTTTTTATTTCTTTTCTTTTAGACAATGCTTTTATTAGTTTCTGTAATCAAATCTGTGCACATATGACCTTACATATTTAACACAGTATATTACCCATGTACAGATGGAAAAATTAAACATTTCGAGACCAAATATGGCTGGAGATTTCTGTACAAAGCCAACTCAGTATGATAAACTGGGATCCATTTTGTCTTTTATATGGCTTATTTTATAAAGGAACAATTCAATTATTTTTGTTTATTTTCATCGTATTTTGTCTTTTATTTGAAATTTCTTTATATATTCTGATTAAAAAATAATAATATACACACGTAGTGAACAGCTTCTCTAATTCTGTTGCTTTCCTTGTTTGCTCAATAGTACTTTCCCACGAGTATGAGATTTGAATTTTAAGGGTGCCTAATCAGAGCTTTTTTCTTTTGTGGCTCATGCTATTTAGAATTTTGCCTACTCTGATATTGCAAAAATAATTTCCTCCTAAAAATTTGTTTCAGCTTGATGTTGTCAATTTCAGTATAACCACTTTAGATAATATAAGGAAATGATCAATATTTCTCCAATTTGGGTATTTTCAGTGTTCTCCAGTACCACTGAGAAGCTTTTCCTCCCTTCACTGGATAGCATTGTGCACGTTTGTCAAAAATGAATTACATATGAGCCTACTTTTGGATTCCATTTATTGATATATATGTCTGTCCTTCTACTAACTGGTAATATGTCAATTTTCAAATTAATCTTATGATCTGTGACTGTATTAACTTATATTAGCAAAATTTTCTTTTTTTCAGCTTGAGGCATAGTTAAGAAATTAAAACTGTATATATCTAACCTGTATACCATGACATTTTTATATTCATGTCATTATAATTATTAATGACATTATAATTATTATAAACATAATTATTAATAAATTAATACAATATATATCAATTTAAGTATATGTTGAAGAAAATGTAGGCACTGTTCTCAGTGGAATTACTGTCTTTCAGGTATCTGTATCTAGTACTTTTGAGTCATTAGATTTCTCTGTACCAATGATAAGAGATGCAGAAAGAAACATTTTACTTTTTCTTTTCTAGTCTGTATGCCCCTTGTTTCCTTTTCTTTTTCTGTTCCCTTTTCCTTCTAATCTATGCTACAATATTTAATGTCAGTGGTGAGGGCAGGTGTCTTTGACTTTTTGCAGTATTACTGGAGAAAGATAGTCTTATCAACTCTAAGAGCTGAAGCATTGTTATGAATGTTCTTATCAGAACAATGACATTCCCTATGATTCTATTTGTTTAGAATTTTATCATAAGAGTGAATTTCTTCAAGTACTTTTATGCCTTGTGCTGAATATCTTTAGTTGTCAACTTGACACATCTGGGTAAAGGGGGCCTCAAATGGGGAATTGCCTCCAATGGATTGGCCTGTGGCCATGTCTGTGGGGCATTTATTTGATTGTTGACTGATGTGGGAGGGCCCATCCCATCCCACTGTGGGTGGTGTCACCCCTGAGCAGGTGGTCCTGTATTATATAAGAAAGCAGGTTGAGCACAGGTCAGGGGAGCAAGCCAGTAAGCAGCCATCATCCATGGTCTGTGCTCCAGGTTCATGCCCTGAGTTCCTGCCTCAGGCTCTCTCTGTTATGAACTGTGTGTGACCTGGGAGATATAAGATAAACTAAACCCTTTCTTCCCTAAATTGGTTTTGGTTAGTGTTTTCATCACAGCAATTGAAGGCAAACTAAGACATTCCTCTATTAAAATAATCAGAAAATTTTGAGTCTTATCATGTGTATGTCGTGGAATACACTGACTGATTGTCTAATGATAAGCTTATTTTACATGTCTAAGATACATTCCAGTTTTCTATGATTCTTTCACAACTTTAGATAGTTCTACATGTAGAAGAAATCTTTCCTTTCCATCTTAATTTCCTAGTTTAGGCCCTTATAATGGATGATAGACTTAGAAGAAAAAGCATGCGAATTTATATAAATTTAAAAAATTTTATTGAGCTTTTGTAAATTCATATAACAGTTGCCAATCAAATTTAGACCCCCTCCCCACCCATGCCTCCTCCATCCCCATGTATTCCACCATACATGTTAAGACCTATCTGATCAAGCATTTGTATCCAAATGTCTTTCAGTGCAAATTCATCTGCTGGAGTCTAGTCAGCTCATCTAGAAATCATATGTAAGGCACACTTTCCCTCACCCAGTAGCCATCAATCTCCAATAGTTCTTAATCTAGGGCTGGTCCTCCACATATTTATCTCCTTCCCTCTGGACCCTTGTTAAATTGAGTTGGCATGAGTCTTGTACTCGATGCTACCATTCCACAAGTTCACATGTGCAAGCTTCCAGTGGCCTGGAAACCTCTGCTTCCCTGTGTTCATGAACCAGCCCTGGCTCTTAAAATCTTTCCACCCCTGAGCCGTGGGTGGGTGGGTGGGTGAGGTTCAATAAAGGAGTTCTATCCAAGCATATACACTCTGCAGTCTCTTATTCTTTTTATTTTTTAATGTGTATGAGTGTATTGCCCACATGTATGTGAGTGTAGCCGTATCATGCAATGCCACAGAGGTCAGAAGAGGACTTTGGATTCTCTCAACTGGAGTTAAGGACGGTTCATAGCCACCATGTGGGTGTTGGGAATCAAAGCCGGGTCCTCTGCAGGAGCAGTCAGTGCTCTTAACCTCTGAGCTATCTCTCCAGCCCCCTTTTTATTTTTTAAAAGGTAGTTATTTGGGCTTACAGAGCTCATGATGTCTAGGAGGGGTTACTTACAAAGGTATGGGCACCTACAGGCTTTTTTCCCTACATCATGGTCTGTAGCCACCAGCTCCCCTGCCCAAGTTGGGGAAGCAGCGTCCTCCTCCCTGGCTTCTTCCTTGTCTAGCCTTAGACACTCCCCCTCATACAATTGAAGCTGACAGATTGGGTGGGAGGGGTGACTGTCTCCCTCCTTTTCTGAGGCGTCTCTTAGGGTTCAGACATTCAACTGTTGTTAGTCCTTCAGAGGACATGCCTATCCAACCCTCCACCCCTTCCTCCTGCTCTTAACAATCTTTCTGCCAGCCTCTTCCACCAGAGTTCCTGAGCCTTGGAGGGGGTGACAGATGCAGGATGATCTTTCTTCTATTGTGGTGAAATATTGAGCTCTTTGGCCTTCTCACTATTTGTCCCAAGTTAAAACTTGGCCACTTGTGGCCTTCTGTGTGCATAGTACTCTGTTGTATAAGGAAGCATTACTAGTGAGAGTTGAGGGATGCATTAGTTTTTTCTCTATCCCTTGTTCTTCTGTGTTCCATGAGTCTTAGCTGTAGAGGTTCAACTGTAGATGCATCACCCAGTACTGGGCATCTCTCAGACATATATATAAAATCACCTTCAGAAGCAGACAAAGGCTCAAAGAAATGGATAAAGCTATGTGCTTTTATGGAAATTTTGATGGTAATGTAGTGATGGAAAACAGAACATGACTAATATTAATAATGCATTTGGTAACCTGTTAGTTCAGATCTTTTTCTGTGTCACTATGTCTTCAGAAATAAGGATAGTCCTTTCCTCTTGGTATAGGGGTGGGTGCCCCTCAAATGAGGGTGTCATGGGGAAGATCAGAAAAACCCTTGCTAAGTAAGAGACTTAGAATTATCCTGACATAGAATAACTATGTCCTAAATATTATCATGTATCTATAGTTTAAAAATGGAGCAAACTGTAGAAACGCTTGCATAAAAACACCATGAACACAAAACTCAGTTATGCAACATTTGAAGAATTACAGTACTTGGATGGATTTAAAATTGTATTACTTTACCTCACCTTATAAGCCTTTATGTAAGAGATGATACTTATATGTCAAATTCCACATGGAAGGCTGGCAGTATCTTTCCTGAGTGGATGGCCAAAGGCCCAAAGGTCCAAAGGTCAGTATCTTTTGGACTGACTAAATCCTCTACTTCTTTAATTAACTGGAGTGTGGTCTACTTTCCTGAGTGTCAGTAAATCTGTGTTTCTACATGTTAAAGTTTATTTACACACAGCAATCACAAACCTCACCTGAAATGAAGCATGTATTGAAACCTGAGCAAACTTTCATAAGGTGGGGCAAGGCAACCTTAGTTTTAGAGAGAGGATTTGTTATAAAATGAGCTTAGAAGAATCCTTCGTCTTCCTACCAATCAATAGCAAACAATTCCCCACTAACAAGTCAGTAGATGAAACTACACCATAGTTATGACTTTTCTTAATATCTGAAAGTCAAATTTAAAGTATAACATTTCTTCATACAGTGAACACATTTCCTTCTACTTCTACACATGAAAAGTACTATCAAAGGTCAAAGCTGACAATCTTTTAAAAGTCCTTTTAGCACAATATCTGAGGACAAGATGCAGGTTTTCTTCTTTTGGGTTTAAAGCAGAATTCATCTTCCATCAAATGAAAGCACCTGGTTGCTTGGCCATTTTAGCTAAGTTTTGAAAAAAAGAGTTCCTTCTGTCCAGTAAATATTTGCTGAATTGTCTGAAATATCATCTCTCTATAAAGTGACTGATGTATAATAAATTATACTTAAACACTGGTATGTTTTCATTTTAACATGGGAATTAAGAATCTCAAGGACTAAATCAGGTCCACATGGTCCTTTACAATCAGATCTTCATCTAATCAGTTCATTTCCGTAGCCTAATCAACATCAAATAGGGAGAAGCACCTTCATTCTTCAATTCACTGTAGAAAAGAGAACATGAACACAATAATCAAAATGGATCACGTTACACTCCAGTGATACAGTGGCTACATCAGCATCATCTCTACCTTCATTGGCACTGCATGGCCAACTGAACTAACTGCTTTGCTCTAACAGATGGCCATTAATGAAGCTATGCTGATCAACTGTTCATGAGATACAGCAGAATCACATTGTAAAAGCATTTATGGTCAGCAATTTGAGCTAAGCTGAACAGACAAGAGCAAAGAGGACTGTGGGGAGGGCAGAATGTCAGAGTCTGTGTCAGCCTTTCCAGTCAGTGGAACTACACCACACAGTAAACTGGAGGTGAAAAAGTTCCAACCACCTGTTCCCTCGGTATCCTTTAGGTCTGTGGGTCTCTCAGAGCCTGAACATTTTTCTTCACTGGATATTTAATATTTAAATAAATATTTAAATATGTGTATATATGTGCACATATATGCACACAGGTGTTTTATTGTTTAAAAACATGGACCTTTATCCCAAGACGACCACTTCTGGTATTTGGCACAAGAAGCAACTGCATGTTTTAATGATTGGGGAAAAGAAATCTCATTTATACTTAATGAGCTATAGCATGGAACTATGTTTCACGTGAAATTTAATTGATTTGTCCAGACCAGGCTTTAGGTGTACATGCTTTTACTTTTTGCCTTAATTGCTACTTTGTTACCTTCCTCAAATTACAATTCCATTGATATCAGAGACTCCAGGCTTACCAAACCATATTTCCAATTATATTTTTTAAGCAGCTGGCCAGCTCTACTTCATTTTTAAAATGGGAGATCTATCTTTCTGTCTTTAACACTGGAATTCTTATTTTAAAATGTTACAACATGTCCAGTTTGACCATGTCAATTAGAAAATTTCTCTTAATTGACTTTTCCCAAGCATGGGAAGAAAAAAGGTCTTTATAACCTTTAACTGTTAATTAAGTGCAGCTAAAAACCAAGTCATTCTCCTCAACACATCTCCTCTGTACTACCCAGATCTGCATCATTGCATGAGGAAATATATCAAATGGATGGGTTCTTCCCCAGTCCCATTCTGGCTTCATTTCCTCCAGGTTCAAATCATTGACTCTGAAGTGTCATCTCACCAAATTCTAGAAAACAGATCTACAGAGAAGGGGCAAAACCATGCTCCCTCCCCTGGAAAACTTGGCTTGCTGTTCTAAACTTTACCTCTTTCCCCACTGAAGAGACTATTTCTCATCTGCCTCTGCATTGTGGGAATCTCACCTCCTCCCTGCGTGCCTCCAGGCCTTAATTTCTTTTTCTTTCTTACAAGATGCAATGCTAGTGGACAAGTTGAGAATTCAGCACCTGGAGGCCCAAAGATTTGAGAGGACTTGCTTCATAATGGCTTCATCTCTACTCTATAATTATATACATCATTAGTAAAGTGAATCATTGTTGCAGGGAGTTTTAAAGAGAGAGATGAATCTGTCTGAATTCCTAGACTGATGCTAATCATAGCAAGTCTGATTTTCCACCTCAGGCACTCTGCCCAAGAGTTTCAGAAAATGAGATTCTGCCCTACAAGGACCAGACAGGAGAATTCAAAAGCTGCTAGAACAGGAAGTTTTTAATCACTGTTAAAATGATACACGTAATTACAGGCTATGTTTTCTTTTTAAGTGATCATTTCCTACAGCTTATGGAAATGAGATTTGAGCACAGATTCAAATTCTGATTCACTCAACAACAATAAATATTAAACACTAAAATATGGCTTAGATGGTTTTAACTATCATTTTGATTGCTTTCCTGGGTCATTATCATTGCTTGAAATCCTTCATTGGAAGTTGGTAGTTGTTGAAGATACATGTTCTTAGCAACACAGAAAATAAAAAGAAATAGGAGGAACTATTCCCTTCCTGGGGATATTTACAATCTATTTGATTGAGAGCAACATCAAAATTCTAGTAAGTACTAACAATTCATGATTAAAATGTCCATCAATGGCATAAAGAATAGAGCTGCAGAGGGAGGAGGACAATGCAAGAAAATTATCTGTAATGTTTAAAGAAAGTGCTGAATGGCTTAGTTTAAGGCAAAGGAGGGGAAAGATATCCCAATGCATGTATTTATTCAGTAAGTATTACCATGTCGAGTAAGGGATTTGACAGTAAGTAAAATGAACAGTTCTGAATAGTATTTGGGACATAGTGTATGCTTAATCATCATTATCAGCTTCACAGGGTTTAAATCATCTTAGAGTCACACCTTTGGGTATGTCTTTGAGGGGGTATCCAGAAGGCCCACCCTGTATATGTTTGTCACTGTCCCCTGGACTGAAGAAAAGGAAAAAGTGAGTGGAGTACCCATGTCCACCTCTCTGCCTCCTGGCCGCAGACACAATGCCATGATGAACTAACCTTCAAACTGTGAACTAAAACTCACATTTCCTCCCCTATGTTACTTTGTGGCAGTTGTTTGATCACAAGAATGAGAAAAGGTAACTAATATAGATAGTAAACAAATGATTACACACATACTAACCAACTGGAGATGTTCTCAAGTGGGTTAACTGTCAACCGTGTTCAAAGGTTAAGGAGCTGAGGGAAAAAAGACCATACCTTGTAGAGACAGCCTTAGACACTGATGTCCTAGGAGTTTCGGTCCAATGTGCTACCTTGGTTTTTAGGTCTTTATTCTAAAATTGGAAAGTAAAAGGTGTAGAGATCAGACATCTAATTCACCTATTAGCTACCTCCTACACAATTTGCACCTGCCTCACAACTTGGGCAGTTGTTCTATTAGAACACAAGAAAAAGATATGTAAATATACCCTTAGAAGCACATAATGTACCAGGGAGCTAAAATATAGTACCCTGACTTAGTACTCTGATATTCAGCTCCAGAACTATTGTTCAATTTTACTGAGTTTCTTTTCTTATAGGCAACTGAAAAGAGTCTAAAGAATCTTTTAGAAAGCCAGATATGATGGCACACACCTTCAGTGCCAACACTTGGAAGACAGAGGCAGGAAGGTCTCTGTGAGGCATCTTCATCCCTATGTTTCCCCTTGAAGATTTACACTCTTCATCTCTATACTAACGGTGACAATATAAGTCCTGCATCTCTTATATGTTGTTGCAAGAAACAAATACATATTATCATAATATTTTGAAACTGGAAGCATTCTAGGGTACAACATGACACCTGACAGCAGGTAAGAGAGCAAGTTCTTAGGTATAAATTCCGGTTCAGCCACTTACCATCTATGTTATATCATTTAGTTTCTTTATGTCTAATTTCTTAATCTGTGTAATTGATAGAACAGCACTTTCTTCTCTGGTTTGAAATGAGGTAGAAGTATATAAATTACTCAGCTCGGACAGTGTCAAGCAAGGATATTAAGACTTGCACACATCTGGCTCCTGTGGCTATCGTATTCTAGTCCCACTAGCATTTTTAGAATGAAAAGCTGAGGTTCTGTGGCATTAGGCAGCTTTCAGGGTATATTTGTATGTCTCTTTGCTGAGCACTAAAAGAACAACTGTAACAAACTTAATTCCCAAGGACAGGAGGTGGTGTGTTGGTTATCTCACATATCGGCATGAGGAGACTAAAAGAGTAAGAGATCAAGACCCAGAGTGAACTGCCAGTTGGCTTCAATGGCAGGCTAGAGTTCTTTAACTTATCTCCAGAAGTGTACCTAGATGAGGATATAATGCCTCTCCCAGATGCCATGGACTATCAAGCAAAGAGTCCCATGCTAGGTACAGGTTACCTCTTTTTGAGTTACTGATCAATGGGATCCCATAGACCACCCCCCCCAACACTACAGGCTATTGCCACTGCTCCTTCTTACTCTTCATAACTCGATGGTAAAACGTATTTCTGAAGACACCACAGACTTGAGTCATAGGACATAGAGAAATCAAGTTGGTACTGACCTGGAAGCTTCATCCCTACTGGCTGGTTTTCATAGTTTTGGAAGGTGTTATATACACTACCGGGGAAGAAAATTAACTAAAAGGTAACCAAGTTGCAAACTCTGGGTAGCTACAATAACAACTGGCCAAGGAAGAATAACCAACCACTTGCTGCTCCACAAGACAGAACTCATGTCTGGTACTGTTAACTGGGCCAAGAGCCTTTGGCTAGGTAGATCATAGGCCCTAGGGGAAGACCTATTGCTAGTTTTCTGACAAATGGACACAGCATTAAACTGCCCCCTAAATGCTATACCCATAAGATTAATTCAGCTCCCAACTTTCATCAGAGAAGTTTCTTTTTGCAGTAGATGACATTTAATACAGAGACTCACAACTAGTCAAAGTATAGAGAATAAGAGACTGTGGCATGCTCAGCCCTACATGAGTCATCTATATCATACCCCTTGCCCCAAGTCTTAGAAATCATCCTGGAACAGGGGACAGAAAAATTATAAGAGCCAGAGGTAATGGAGGACCGCTATGAAATAGTTTTCTAGACATAACATGGCCATTGTACACGTGAACTCACAGCAGCTGTGTCTATATGCAATAGACTTGCACAACATCAAGCTAGCCAAAATTTCAGAATGGATAGGGAGGGACTTAGGAAGTCCAACACATAGTTGAGGGGCTATTGGCAACTGATGGTTGCTGGGAGAGGGAGAGTCAGTTTTCTTCGGGGATGGGCTTCTGATAGGCTACCCACGCTCCAGTGGATGACCCTAAAGTCAGGAACATACTGAAACCACTAAGTGGACTCAGGGGCATTAAAAAAGCATGCAAGAAGTTGCAAGAGGACTGGGAAGAGGTATGGGAGGAGTTGGAGGAGAAGGAGTGGGGAGTGGATTTGATCAGAGTATATTATATGCATGTATGAAATCCTCAAACAATAAAATTTTTTTAAGTGTCTGGGACTTTCAAGTAGCCAGGTAAAGTGATAAAACAGATGAGGCTGTTCTTTTCATGTCAGATAATTAAGACTGTTTGTTTGTTTGCTTGTTTTTGATCTTTCTGAGACAGGGTCTTTCTGTAGCCCCAGCTAGCCTGGAACTTACCTTGCAGACCAGGCTGGCCTCTATCTCACAAAAATCTTCCTGCCTCTGCCCCCCAAGTGCTGGGATTAAAGGCATGGACTACCACACCTGGCTCCATATAAGACTTTCTTTCAAGTGTTTTATATAATTCTTTCTTTTTATATGGCTGACTTGGCTCTAGGTAACAGGAGTATTGCATATTAAAAGATGGTGCATACTGTATAGTATAAATTACATAAAGTTAATATGCATATTTTTATTAAAAGAATAAGGCTGAATAAAAGAAAATTGACAAGGGAGCTGCCTTTAGTAAACCAGGAGTGGTGTGGGCAGCATTGAGATCAAACTGCATAGTCTCTGGACAGGTGGTTTGACTTCACAGCATATTTTCTATTCTCTGCGAGACATTTTCTGAATGACCACAAGACTCCTTATTTTGCGAGTGAAAAAGCAGTGACTACAGGAGGTATAGATATTTTGGAGTTCCTGAAGGAGTCCCGTTCAGGTACGGTCAAAATACAAGTAGAAAAAAAAATAAACAATTAACTGAACTTAACCATTCAGCCTCATACCACACTCCAGTATTTCCATCCCTGTTACTGATACAACACTGAGCCAGTACCAGTGAAGAAGCCAAAGGATGGGGACTTCTTTTTCACGATGTAGAAGGCATGTTATCATTGGAGTTACAGTATAAATAATTTAGTATATGCCATAGAGTAATAGATAATTATCACTACAGAAAATATTTAAACTAAACCAGGGTGACCAGAATAATTTAGGATGTTTTTATGCACATGGAGATTGAACAGGAACCTTAAAGACAAAATTAAATGGGTAAAGTAGAAAAGGGAAGAAAACATAAGACCATAATTCCTTCCATTTGAGACTTGAAAATCACTTGTTACTTCCATCCATCAATCAGCCTGGAATCGGAACACAGCGCCTGCTGCTGCATATGATAAAACTCAGCAGGTCCTTCTAAGGAGAAGCTAAATTTGAGTAGTGCGTGGAGATTGACTTTCAATCTTAGTTGTGTATTATTGAACTGCAAGGAGAGCTTTCAAATGTACATATGCTTGAGTCCCACCCCAAGATCTTGTTTGACTTGAAATCTGAGTTCAGGAGCTTTCCAAACCCCACCAGTAAGTAACTCATGTGGGTAAGATGAAGAATCACTGAGAGGAGGAAGCAGAGTCAGGATGTGGCTTTTGCTCCCCAGAAATTATAGTAAGTAAAAACTGAAAGAGCCAGCATCATTGGACACATTATTTCATTACATGACGCACTTTACAAAACTACAAATCACTGGCCAGAATATGACTGACATTATTATGACTCTTAAAGCAGTTTGTTGACATAGTATTCTCAAAGAGCATAATTTTTGGACACTTACTTTCTTACCAACACATTGCAGAATTAAAATTCAAGGATAATGGTGATTATTTAGAGTAGGATAGTCCTTAACATTTAGAAGATAGAGCAGTTTCCCTGAAGATGAATTTCCCTGAGAGCAGATCATTAGGAAGTTAAAAATGCATGAAATAGGACATGAAGGATGGAGCTCTAAGTCAGGATGATAAAGATGCGTAAAAGTAGAAAGAAAGGAAATAATTTAGGTCGTATTCCGCAGAATTCTTCTGGTGACATTTAAAAGAGGTATAAATAGCTTATTTAATTTTTTAATATTTTATTTATTTTTAATTTATGTGTATGAGTATATTGTCTACATGGATGTAAATGCACTAATATTGTGCAATGCCTGTGGAGGTCAGAAGAGAGCATCAGATTCCCCTGGAACTGGAATTACAGATGGTTGTTAGTTGCCATATGGGTGCTGAGAATCAAACCCAAGTCTTCTGCAAAAGCAATCAGTTCTCTTAAGCACTAAGCCATCTCTCCAGCCCAGGGTTTTTTTTTAAAGATAGAGTTTATACATCAATTTTATCCTTAGAGGAAGGGAAAAACTTCAAATGGAATAAAAAGAAAACCACAGGAAAATATT